TTTTTTTCTAGTTTTTGCTCTATATGTTGTCAAAAACAGTGGATGATCTTAATGTTAATTGGTCAGCTAAATAGCTTTTAGGGTTGAGCACATAAGCCGCACTCTCCTGCCATTCTAATCTTGTATTTGTGAGGGGCAGCCAATCAGAAGAAAGTTTTCTCAAGGTGGGTAAAGCTATCTATTAGATAAATATTAACTAAATATTAGATAGTATTACACAAATAAGGCTCACCTGTCAATCAAAGTGATCAGTTGGTGCGTTTTGGAGAAGTTTTAATGGATTGTGTGACTAATATTCTGATATCTAATATCCATCCCAGAGGTTTGTGCTTCAGTTCAGGTGAGTGAAATTCAAGTGTTTTATTAGTTTATTAGTTTGAGCATAAGAGCTCAAACACATATCAGTGAGTATGTGTCTGTGCATCAGTTTTTTGGATGCAGCTTTTTAACCAAGAAAGCAGAGAACCAACTGACCACCCTGAATGTGGTCTAAAAATGATGATGTTTGCCTTTGTTAACACCCGGGGGAGGCTAATGAGGCTTCAGAATATGGATTTCAAAACCATTAAGTTATCGTGGCGGCATCCATCCAAGAGAAATGCAGTGCAAGAGATGGATGAGGACCAAAATGCAGCATCCGAGGCAACTTTACTAGTAAATCGCATAGAAACCCTTGGCCCTAAACCATTTACGTTTATGAAAGATTCAATTAGAAATAAAGAACCTTAATTGATGTTGAGGTGAAATCAGGTTTACAATAGTAGTCTTTACTCAAAAAATGTTACATAATATATTTATTAAATGCATGGTATAAAACTTAAAAACAAGGCATTTTCCCACAGAAACAAAATAGATTAGTTAATAAGAAAATGTATTATATGTGCTTCCTCCTTCCTTTACTTATAATGTAGGACAGATGATAAATTCATTAAAATAAAATGAGGTAACTTTTCAGGTGCTTCAGCAGGGGCCACCATACTCTACATCTGCTCTGAACAGAGATCAATATCATAGCTGCTGATGTGTAAATCTGTCAAGAGGATTTATATCTGTCTCACCAACATAGCTGAAAGAATAAGGTTTGTTTCATGTTTGAATAAGAAAATGGATGAGTTTCTTCTAATGATTCCTGCTTTAACTTTTATTATGACATCTGTAACTGAGTTTGTCAGGGTGCATGGCAAGAACGGGACCCAAATGCAGGACCTTCCAGTCTGAGACAGTGTGTTTATTTATAGTGGCAATCAGTGAGCAATGTGCAACAGTTTCAATAACGTTTTTCCCGAGTCCTGCTCCATGCTTGTGTTCCTGTGACAGACAAACAACTGCAACACTCGATTTTACAGTCGCTCCACTCTCCTAAACCTGGTAAGACAAGAGGGGAAGATCAGTGATGAAATGCTGAACACAATATTTGAACACAAACACAACACAAAAGAATAAAACTGAGTTTAACTCTTTAAATCAGCTCATTTACCTTCATTTTCTTTTATATTGGATATATATTACTTATATATTACTTTCTTACTTCTGCTGTGATGAATAAATATTGGTCTTTTTTCAAACTCTTATGTTCTTAGTTGTATAAAGCGCTTTGAATGCTCAGACAGAGTAGAAAAGCGCTATATAAGAACCAGTCCATTTACCATTCTTTCTATTTTTCCTGTTATGACTTACAGACATGAGTAGCAAACACACAAAAATCTGGGGTTTGCTACTCACATCTCAATTAAGGAAAATTAGTGAAACTGTGTATAAAGAAATTTCCATGATGGAGTCAGTTCAGTGGAGACAAATTTCTATTTTTCTTCTTAAAGACTTCTCATTTCTGATGAGCAGCCAGATAAAGTTACATAAAACTCTGTGTTCTTTCTATTCTTCCTATTATGACTTCCCTGTTTAGTTCCAAGTTATTTTCACTTCTCTGTTACAGGAAT